GATACCCACCACCTCTCTGTGGAGGAGATGAAGTTAATTTATATTACTTTATATATGTATCTTTTCTATTCTTCTGTTTCATCGTAGGCTCATTTAATCCAGAGGTGGTTTGAACACGTCCAGGAGACCAAACCCACCATCATTGTCACATACAATGGAGATTTCTTTGACTGGTAAGATTGGGAATGAAAGCTAAGCTGGCAAGGTGTCACCTGAGCTGTGGGGCAGGGTCAGGTACCAGCGTCGACGTCCTTCCGTAGCTCACGCAGCGGTGATAGTGTGTGATCTCTGCTGACTGCCTGGCCACTTTGAGCACCTCACCAAATCCTGTGGTCATTGGCTGGGAAGTGTGAGCTTCCAGAGTCCCGTCGCTTGGCTGAGCTGCTTTAAACCCCTGTCAGTGCGGCAGTGCTGGTGTATGGATGAGCCAAGGCTTGGGAGAGAGTCAAAAGAGACCTGGAGGATGTTGAGGAGAGGGGCACAGAGAAGCCTTCGGGAAGGAAGGGGCGAGGGACCATGTACCTCCTGGTGCAGGATGTCAGCAAGCAGCTTTGCCTCTTGGGTCATGCTGCAGTTCTGTCCTGCAGGAAGTTTTCCCCATGGCCAGATATAACAGATAAATTGCAAGAAGAATTTTTTAGGAAGTTTGTAACAAAGCAGTTGTGAAACTGTTGTTTGGGATGAAGGGAAATGGCTGTTCTGTTCCTTCTCTTCACGTTGCCTCTTTCCCCAGGCCCTTTGTCGAAGCAAGAGCAGCAGCTCATGGAATTAATATGTATCAGGAAATTGGGTTTCAGAAGGACAGCCAGGGAGAGTACAAAGCATCCCAGTGCATCCACATGGACTGTCTAAGGTACCAAATACTGCCCCTCGACCATATAACTTTATCTCTTGAATTTAAATATCTGTAGTTGTGTTTGAATACTGTCTTCCTTCTGTCTGCTGGACGCAGAAGCTGCCAAGCCTGCCCCATGAAGGGCTGTCAGGGCCTTCTCTCTCCCTGCAGCCTGCTGGCGGCTGCCCTCAGGTGTTTGAGGTCTGATCTGGGGGAGCAGAGAAAGGGTTGGGATAAGATCAGGCCATTGGAGTGGGAAAAGGACCATATCCCAACCCAGCAGCCTGCTGGCACAGCCCGAAGGGGAAAGGACACGTTGTGCATGCGTGGGGGAGAGAGAGAAGTTGAGGTTTTTACATGGGTTTCCTCCACTGGAGCAGTGTCTGGACTTTGGAGAGCGGCTGGCTGTCCTTGCAGTCCTGGTGGTGTCACCTCCAGTGGTTAAATGTTGATCTTTAGGCCACTGAGGGAGTTGGAAGGTGGCAATTCTGAGCAGCAGAGATGGTATGGATAGTGGAGGCTGTCCTGGTTGGGATTTAAGTGCCCCGGTAGAGATGCAGGATATGTAAAGCTGGACAGCCTCTTACTCGGCTGCGCTTGGCTGCCAGCTCTCGGCTGTCCTCGCTGAGAGGTCCCCTTTGCAATCGAGGTCCCATGTGCAAGCCTGAGCCCCTTTTTGAAGGGCAGGGCTGGTTTCTCTGCACAAACTGGTGTTTTTGTGATTCCCTCCAGGTGGGTGAAGAGAGACAGTTACCTCCCAGTGGGAAGTCACAACCTGAAAGCAGCAGCTAAAGCAAAACTGGGTTACGATCCAGTGGAGCTGGACCCTGAGGACATGTGCCGGATGGCTACGGAGGAGCCTCAGGTATTCCTTCCCTGTGCTGTATCTCCTCTGAGCAACTGGAACGCAAGCCTAGAGCAGCTGCAGTATGATTGAATCCTTAAGTTAAAGTGTTGCAAAATGTTTTTGCTTAATGCAGTGGGTTTTGAGAAATTAACTCCATTTGTCCCCTTCAATTGCCGATGCCTTAGAAGCACTTGAGCTTGTGGGGAGAAAGAACAGGATTTCTCTGAAGTGGTTCCAGCAGTGGCACTGCGCTGTGTGTTTTCTGTATTTATTTACATCAGTGCAAGGTGGCAGGCACCACCCAAATCAGAGACACCCCAAAGAGCCATGACTTGCTGGAGGGACAAGAAATAGGCTTGGTGCTCCAGGTGTCACAGGCAGAGGATTTCTGCCGAAGCCCTGGACCAGCCTCCTGATTCCCAAACGGGGCAGCGTCCGTGCCATGAGCTCATCCTCCCCGTTTCTTCCCGTTCACAGCTGGCCTATCGCTGTGTCAGTAGAGCTAGAGCAGGATGTCCTCGGAAGCGAACGTGTTATTCTTTACGACCTAGGATATGGAGAAATACACCTTGCCCTTCTTCCCTGCGTGTCCAGCAGAAAGATTATTGTCGTTGAGCTGCTCTGCCGCGTGTGACTGGGATTAATTTGCCTCTCGCCCTCCCCTGACAGACCCTGGCCACCTACTCAGTGTCCGACGCCGTTGCTACCTATTACATGTACATGAAGTACGTCCATCCTTTCATTTTTGCCCTGTGCACCATCATTCCCATGGAGCCCGACGAGGTGGGTGCACTCCTGAAACGATGATTTCTTTGCCAGGTGAAGAGCCACGTCTCCCACGCCGCAGGGACGCTGTGGCCACAGAACTGATTCTTGCTGCCCGGGTACTTTCCCGTCTGTGTCAGGGAGGGATGGAGGGTGGGTTTGGAGGCTACTCCTTTCTCTCCACAGCCCTGGGGTGTTTTGAGAGAGGTGCCTAAGAACAAGAGACCTGAGGTTGGCAGTACAGGGCTGGAGCAAGAAAGTACGGTTCATGCTCCATGCTTAGCCAAGTTTACTTGCAGTCGTGGTCATGCAAAGCTGGATCTCCTGATGGCTGTTGTCAGCTGTAGGGAGAATGGTTAGGAAGGTGTCTGTGTTAACCATGTAAGAAACATCCCTCTGTCCCCACCTGGTTTCGCTTACAAAGGCGCTTGGCAGTGGAGTAGTGTCAGGAGTTGTTGGCAACAGAGGTCTGGAGGTCTTTGCACTGTCCGTAGCCTGCTCTCATGGCCAACACGAAGGTGTCAGTGTTGGTTTCTCACTTGCTCCCGTCATCCTTGCGGTGGGCTGCAGCACTGTCCGCTGCACCATTGCATGTGTGTCACCAGCTGGGGCCATCCGGCTTACTGATGTGCCCGTAAAGCCACTCCAGTCCCACCAGCACCGGTACAGGATTTCTTGCTGAGTCACAGGATGTTTTGGGTTGGAAGGGACCTTCAGAAATCATCTAGTTCCAACCCCCTTGCCATGGGCAGGGACACCCTCCACTACACCAGGTTGCTCAAAGCCCCATCCATTTTTTTTTAGGGATGGGGCATTTACAACTTCTCTGGGCAACCTGTTCCAGTGTCTCACCACCCTCAGAGTGAAAAATTTCTTCCTTATATCTAATCTAAATCTACTTTTTTTTGAGTTTAAAACTGGCTTTGATGTCTCTCCTGCAGGTGTTAAGAAAAGGATCTGGGACACTGTGCGAGGCACTGCTGATGGTTCAAGCCTATCATGCCAACATCATCTTCCCCAACAAGCAGGAGCAGGAATTCAACAAACTTACAGAAGATGGCCATGTGCTGGACTCAGAGACTTACGTGGGAGGCCACGTGGAAGCACTGGAATCTGGGGTCTTCCGCAGTGACATCCCCTGCCGCTTCAAAATGGTAAGGGGCCGCTGTGCGAGGCACTGCTGATGGTTCAAGCCTATCATGCCAACATCATCTTCCCCAACAAGCAGGAGCAGGAATTCAACAAACTTACAGAAGATGGCCATGTGCTGGACTCAGAGACTTACGTGGGAGGCCACGTGGAAGCACTGGAATCTGGGGTCTTCCGCAGTGACATCCCCTGCCGCTTCAAAATGGTAAGGGGCCGTG